TATTAAGTTCTATTTTTAAAATTTTATGATCAACATTAAATTATTTTAACAAACTGGGAAAGGTTAGATCTGTAATTTAGGTCAACTTTGACATGTTAGCCTAAATAAGCCTGAAAAATCTTAGTATTGGGTTTGAAAATTTAAAAAATTTTCTATACTTTAAATTTATTCAGGCCGTTTGAATAAACTCAAGAAAATTTAGGTTAAGCCCAAATACTCAAATTATTTTTTATTATAAAAATAAAATTAAAATTAGATAAACATTGAAAAATCTTCATTTTTGGAGATAAAAAATTGAAATTGATTGAAAAAAAATAAAATAATGTTTGGGAAATGTTATTTTAATGAATTAGGAAATGTTAGATCTGATAATTTAGGTCAACCTTGATGTGCCAGATTAAATAAGCCTGAAAAATCTTACTATTGAGTTTAGAAGTTTAAATTTTTTTTTTTTTACTTCAAGCTTATTTAGGCTATCTAAATAAACTTGAAAAAATTTAGGCCAAGCCCAAACTTGAATGGGCTTGACTCAAATATTTGAATTATTTGTTATTATAAAAAACTAAACTTCAAATTAGATAAAAGTTGAAAAATCTTTATGTTTTCAAATAAAAAATTGAAATTGACTAAAAAAAATAAAGTAACATAATGTTTGAAAATTTGGGTTTTCGAGCCAACTCAAACAAGCCCATAAACCCAAAAGCCTAAGTTGTTAGAATCAAACTTGATTATATGACTTCTTTTATAAAGTTAATAGATATTCATGCACTATTATTGACTTGAGGATATCAGAAGTTTTTAGATAAAATGTTTATGAGTTATTTTTCACTTTATGTTTACTTCTTCTTTTTTAACTGTCAACGTTAATGAATATTAGTTAAATTTAATAGTTTGTGCACTTTTACATTTACTTTATCAACATTATAGATATTTTTGTATTGCCTTTTACTTAAAGATACTAAGTACTTGTGAAAAAAAATTCATGAATATTTTTACTATATAACTTGGCACAAAATTCCCTTGTCCTACACATGAAGTTTAAAGAGGCTGCCCCATTCTTGTACAAAAGGACCCTAGCATGATCACTAACATCCTCGTCATGATGTTGGGGCATATCAAATCTAGTAATCAAGTTAATAGACCCAGCACAATCTATAAAGATCTTAATTCTTTTAAAACCCATTTGATGCTATAATTCCAGACCTCTAACAATCCCCACACTTTCAGTAATGGGATGGAAGTTGACCAACATTTGCATTGAAAACCACAATCCGTTCTACTTGATGATTTCTAATGTTTCCACTGCATTTAAAAAAAAAAAAAATCCATTATTGCATGAGCCATCCAATTCCAGTCTCACTCTCTCCACCAATGTCCATCTTTCCCATCTATTTATTGGCCATCCCTTATTCAACTCTTGGATATTGTGTCCACACTAAATCAAGAAATCAATCTCATAGAACAAGAGTTATCGAGCAATTTGGCTCTCAAACTGTAAACCTAAGAGTGTATGGAATATTAAAATCATTTTTTATGTAATGTTTTCATTTAACTTTTAAAAACACTGTAAGTAGTATCTATTGTTAATAAAAATTAACTTTAATTATTAATTAATTATAAAATGATCAAGAAAATTTTAGAAATGAATTAAGACAATTTCAATGAAGGTTCTAAAAATTACAAAAAACTTAAATGGTAAAATTGACATGACATGTAAAGTAGTAATCAAAATTTTGTTTTTGGCCAAAGTAGTAATCAAATTTCAAATCTATTCTAAGATGCCAAATAGGATTTGAATTGTTTTTTTTTTTTCACATACTAATTTTGTGAAAAATTGGTAAAAGATTTGTACCAAAATAGGTGGAGTTTGATGAGAGCTATAAAAGATTTGTACTCCTTGGTAAGTAGTTTTTTATTAATGAAATTTGGCTTTCCATATAGAGGAGGGAGAATAATAACAAAGTCCCAAAACAATAAATTAATTATTGTTAAGTCCCTGGCAAATTTTTTTGTAAAATAAATTGTAAATATTAATTTAAAAAGTTATAAAAAGAAATTTAAATTGCAAACTAATTATTACATTTAAAATTTAAATATTATATTTGTAATTGAAACTTATAAATTTTTAATTGTTTGAATCAATATTTATAACTGATTTTTTTTAAAAATTTGTTATGTATCTAATTCTTATTAATTTCTTCTTTTAAAACTTCACTGTCATTCTCCTTATTGAGAATGGGGTTAATAATAAAAAATGTAAAAAAAAAATATTATACTTCACAATGGCTCGTAAATATGGGTTAAACTATGTAACAAATAGTAGTACTATTGTAATTTTGGACATTACTGAGCAAGAGTTAAAAGCCTGTTTGTTTTTTGTTTTTAAAAATTATTTTTTATTTTTGAAAACAAAAAATTAAAAAATTATTTAGATAAGTGTTTTTCATTTAATTGTTTCTAAAAATTTTTTTTATTTTTTTTAAATAGAAACAATTTCAAATTTTTTGCTTTATTTTTCTTATTTTTAAAATATACTATGTTTAATTATTGAAAATTATAGTTACCTTGCTTAATTTTTATTATTAATTATCACTATTAACTGTTAATAATTATCACTATCAGTTTATTTTTTAATGTTAAAATTGTTTTTTAATTTATATAACCAAACATATTTTTATTTTATTTTGTTTTGAAAAATAATTATAAAAACTGTATTATAAAATAATTTTTGAAAAAAAAAAAACAAAAACCAAATAGGCCATCTTTGGATTCTGAATGAGAATCCATTGGTCGTGCAATTTTGATGGAGATCGACTGTCGTATCGCATGAATCTGGTGTACATTCTGTTTCTTACTTACTACATTCTTTTTGAAACCCAATGCTCCAAGAAGATAATACAGTAATAGAATTAGAAATAGCCGTTGGTTGCTAATTTGATTTCCGCGCAGAATATTCCTTGTGGTCAATTTCAAGGCACGCTTTAGTTGACCCAATCAAATATAGCCGTTGCCTCACATTTGAATTCCCATTCCCGATAGAATAAAAGGCGGAACACGACACCCACAAGATGACGGATTAGGCCGCAAAGCTAAGCCTCTCACAGTTTTCACTTTTCAGGGACATTTCAGTATTTCACACATGCATATATAATTATTTAATTATAATTATAATGTAATTATGACAGGACAGTTTTCATCAATTAATTTTGATCAAGTATTTACGACTCTTTTGGAAATTCTGTATGCTATAAACGTTCTTTTAAACATTTTTTGGTTTAATTAGTTTTTAAGGATAAGATTACTCAATCTCTTAATTTGAAAATGGGCAAAAAAATTGACTTTATTATAAGAAGATCAATCTAAAAACTAAAAACTTATTAAAAAATAATAGTAACTAGTATTTGACACAATTAATGATATCAGTTTATATTAATCAATTCACCCAAATATTTAAAAAAATAGAGGAAATATCGTCTAAGGACTTTTTTATATCAAAAAATGACTCTAAAGACTTGAAATTTCACTGTACTGTCACTGTACTTGGGGATGTAATGAAATTTCATATTTTTATATCTTTCTTAATATAAAAACTCTCAAAGGGTTCTTAAATAATATTTTTCTTAAAAAATAATATATCATCAGTATATGAAAAATAATATAATTTTCTCTCAAACTAGATGGAATTTTAAAGCTTGTTTGAAATTGTTTCATTTTATTGTTTTAAGAATAAAAAATAAAAATAAGTATTTTTATCATTTTTTTATTTTTCAAAATAACAATTCCAAACACTTAAAATATGTTTTCATTTTTTATTCTTTAAAATATTTTATTTTATTTTATTTTTTAAAATACTTTTTGAAAACACTTTATGAAATGATTTTTTTTTGTCTGGAAAAAGGAAAATTGTTCCCACACCCTTATTCTTTTAATTTTTCCACACATAATATGTGGCTATCTGTAATTTTGTATTCCTCTTAAATTTTGAATTACATGTTCTTATATATTAGTTTGCCAGTAAATTCAAGCGAACTTCAATGGGTTAACTTGAATCAGTTAAAAAATTTTAAGATCAAATTGGAAAGTCTAGAAATTTTTTTTTATTTATTTGAATAGATTTAATGTTCACTTAGCATTCACAAACTTTCTTCCAAACTCTTATTTCACATTTTTTACACTCCTAAATAAAGTTTCAATGTTTTAATAACTATTTGTTTTGAATATTTTTAAAATATTAAGGGAAAATAAGCATAAGAGGTTATTTCATATGTTTTTATTTTTACTTTGAATACATGGTCTCATATTAGTAAAGGTGGATAAAAGGTGTGTTTATATTACTTAAAAAATCTTAATTCTTAAGGTAAAAATTTAAATTGGCTCAAAAAAATAAAAAAAATCTATGGATTTATATATATATATATATATATATTCAAGTATTTTAAGTCCAATCAATAAACCCAACCCAAGTTGAGCATGATTTAAATTAAGTCCACTCTACTTCGCCCAAATTATGGCTGTAATATTAATTAGTTACATTCTAGTTCCAGACTAAATGTATATGCATCAGAAATTTAGTATGAACAGGCATAACATTACCTTTATTTATAATTTCCTAAGATTTACTTTTTAAAACCCATGTTTTTAAATAGAAAAAATTTAGAAAACTATATTTTTAAAAAAAGTTATTTTGTTATTAGATTATTTTAATAATTTAACTAAGTTCTCTTTATTTTTGAGGAGGTAGTTAGGAGTGTTATGTATTTACGAAAAGGAGTAGCATTTAATTGTTTTTAAAGATAAAATAGTAATAAAATAATTTAAGTCTGCAGTTTAGCCAACGTTTTAAAAAAAAGATCAAATTTTGAAAAGAATGGTTTTGGATGGCATGAATGTGACGTTCAAGTTAAGTGGGGTTAGCTTTGCTGGGTCAGACAGCAAAATTAATCCTCTTTTGGATCTGTGTCCTGTAGAGAGAGACAGGAAGCCCGCCCCTTACCAAAATTTGAATTTCTTCTCTCTCTCTCTCTCCCCCCCCCCTCATTAAATCACAAAGTTGCAAACTTTCTCTTCAATTGAATGAAATGAATGAATTATAGTTTTCTTGGGCATTGTACACCTTTTCCTTTTCCCTTTATCTTAATTCCAATTCAAATCCGCTTTTCTCTGACTTTCCTTTCTTCTATTTCTTCAGTCTCTGTCGTTTCCTTCTTTCAATCTCTAGCTCCATTGCTAAGGTCAGGCCAGAAGAAGAACTTCCATGGGTACATGTTTGAGTAAGAAGAAAGGGTCCTCCTCCTTCTCTTCCCCTATTGCTGAAACCAAGTCTCTTTCTTCTTCAGCGCCTCCTGAGCTGAAGAACAATTCTGCCAATGTCATTTCTGTATCCAAACCCAAAGTGGAATCTGAGCCACAACTGAATCTGGAGAAGGATAAGAAGACGACAGTGCTCCAAGAGAAGCAAGAACCAGTGCGTGAAGATTCAGGAGGCCAAGTGAAAAAGGAGGTTTTCATCATCAAGCACAGGAAAAGCCATGATGACAGGGAGAGAAATTCCAAATGCCCACCAACTGTTCACCAAAATACCTCAGTTGATGGAGATGCTGAAAATGAAACTAACAATGAAGCAGTTGAGTTTGTGGGTGCTAACAAGACTTTGCCACCAGCATCAGCAGCAACCATGGGAGTGGGTGTGAGGACTTCAAGCTGCACCAAGGAAGAGGTGGATGCAATTCTCATACAGTGTGGGAGACTCAGCAGAAGCTCTTCTGGTAAAGCTGCTTCTTCTTCTGCTGGTGCCGGTGAACGTAGGAGAAGGTACTCTGGTTCAAAGAGAAGCTATGATTTTGATCACTGTGACAATGACACCATTTCTGCTGAGGATGACCAAAGGAGGGCCAATGGCACAGACAATAGTGATCTGTGTGAGGATGGTGGAGAGAAACGCCGCCAACACCGCCCACGAGACCGCCAATCTCCCAGAAAGCCCTCTTCTTCTCAGGGAAGGAGAAGAACCCCTAGCAGGGAAAGAGATCAGCAGCAGAACCAGCGATCCAGTAGCAGAGAGAGGAGGGTTAGCAGATCTCCTGGCAGAAGATCTTCAGAGACCAGCAACCCCACAAGCACAAACGCAGCTTCTGCCATTGCTAGCAACAATAACAGCAATTCCACTGCTAGACCTGGGAAGATGGTATCTGTTCCCCCAACTGTTTCATCCTTGGTTATGGATAAGAGTAACAATGGTGGTGGAGGAGAATCTGGAGTCAAGAGGATCTCAGTGAAGAGGAATGTTGGTGATAGTGGCATGGTGGGTTCACGAACTGCAGCCTCACCACGTTCTCAATCTCCTGCAAGGGCAAATGGAAATGGTACTGCAGCGAATTCTAAAACATTGGGAGAGAGTAATGCTCAGCAACAACCCTCACTTAGCCGTAACTCTTCAAGGAAAGCAGATCAATCGCCTTATAGAAGAAACCCATTGAGTGAAATTGATCCCAACTTCCTTGCTTATCCACAATCAGCCAACAATAACAATAAGGTAATCACTTCACTGATCTAACATTTCTTAGCAAGAAAGTACTGAAATTTCTTTTTGCTTTTCTGTTTTCTCGTGTCCCCAAATGGGTGTGATTGTTCTGAAGTTTGATGATTTTCTTTGATATAGAAAATGAATGTTGATGTGAACGACAACCCCAAAAGCAGAACCAGGGGTGTGGGGGGAAATTGCAAGCCAAAGGAGCAACAAGAGGAAGAGGTGATAGGGCTAGGTCCAATGACTGAAAATATCGTTGTGAAAACAGTTGTGCCTTCAGGGATTGACAACCTTAAACAATCCCAGACATTGACAAGAAGCAGGTCCTCTAGGCGATCGCGGGACCTAGATATCAACCCTGAAACAATGTTGAATCCTGAGCAGTCATACACTTCGCTTCTACTTGAAGACATCCAAAACTTCCATCAAAATAACACTGCCACACCACCTGTCTCTCTCCCTGCTTGTGTAACCAAAGCTTGCTCTATAGTTGAAGCTGTTGCTGATCTGAACTCCACTACTAGCTCAAATCTCCTCGGTCCCTTCTCTGATGACCGGAAAAGTCCACCCACATGTCAATCAACTAGGAATGACTACAATGTCTCATTGGGTGCAAATCATTATGGGAAGAAAAGGGTCAAAGACACCAAAGATCCATTTGTGGAATCTGAGGTTGTTGTGCATGATGATGTGATGGAGCCAAGCTTTCATAAGTATGTCACAGTGAAGAGAGGTGGTTCAGTTCGTGGTGGTGGTGGGGCAGACATGGAGGATCAAGAGTCTTCAGGAAGCAACAGCTTCACTGTGAGTGGTCAACAAAACTGGGGATTCTCTTCTTCTTCATGGGAACCCAACTCTGCTGATTCTACTGATAGCTGGACTTCAAGATTGAACTCCAGAGAGGAAGAAGTCCAGAAAAGTTCATCAGGCTGGGCATCTGAAGCAGGACGTGACATGGAGGAAGCGAGGAAGAAGTCCAATAGCAAGGGGAGAGAATGTGATCATCAGCACAGCGGTGGAATAGGGAGAGGCAGGCTTGGTGCAGCTAAGAGTCTGCATACCTTATCTGTTACAGCGGCTGCAACCATATAGATGATGTTATGTATGAATGTCTCTTGACGTTGTCTAGTTTTTTTCTTTTCAAGTACTGATTATTTCTATCGTTTGAGGTTGCAAACTTGCAACCATTTCTAGTTTAATTAAGGCCATCATTTTTCAATATCATAGGCTCTCTCTGTCTCATGTTGAAACATGATTGAAGATTTGTCCAACTCTGGAGAACCGAACTAGCACATATACACTGTAAGTGTCACTATGCAGAAGCTTGCATCTTGAAAATTCTTCTTATACTCGTAGAAGTAAACAAGTACATACTGTTCAATGGTCATTGAACAAACCTCACATTCGTGTGGTAGCTTGTATCTTGAAATTCACCTCACAGTCAATGATCATTGAACGTGTAATATTACAAGTCAATTGACTTGTAAATATCCCAGGGAGTTCACAAGGAGTTTTTCCTTAATCACTCAGAAAAGTAGGAAGCTTTGTAATATCCCCATTCACTGGATTTAGGAAGGTTGTAATCCTGCATAGGTTTTAGGCATTTTCGTTTGCAATCTATTTTCTAAAAGATGTCGCTTTTTGCTACAGTGACATCCTATAGCGCTATGTTGCTTCTGTCTGATTATTAATGCAACAGAAGCATAGAAGAATACTCAGAGGTGGCATTGGTTTGTGTTGGGTTTTAAATGAATTTGATGCAATTATTGTAATTTTATAATTTGATAACTTTCTACGAAGTAAACAATTAATCTACTCAGAGGTGGCATTGGTTTGTGTTGGGTTTTAAATGAATTTGATGCAATTATTTTAATTTTATAATTTGATAACTTTCTACGAAGTAAACAATTAATCTATGGGTTCTTGTAGATTTTATTATATACTAGACTAGACTAGATAGTTCCATCAAAATTAATTTTTTTGAAACTAAAATAAAAGATAAACAGTAAACTAACAATGGACTAGAGTTTTATATTTATAATTATATATAATGGTTGGAACTTCTTATTTTTATAATTATATATACTGATTGGAACTATATATGTGTATTTTTAATGTAACTAGGAAACTTTATTCACAAGAATGTAAGCAGGTACAAATTAGGAAGTGACAATAAATAAAAAGAAAACACAAAAGGACCCCCCCTCTAGGAAACATAAACAAACCTAAAAAAGAGGTGTCTATAGCAAATTGAAATCACAAGAAATACTATGAGTTAATTTAGCCAAATAGTCAGCAACCCTCATCTTATCTCTAAACAAAAAATGGAGGTTAATAATTCAATTTTATGCAAAAGTCTCCTCATAGCTTGAACAATATTACAAAAGGGATGATAATTGTAGTTGTCTTGTATGATAATCGAAATGGCATTATCATAAAAGACCTCTATAACTCTTAACTCATTCTTCTAACATAATTTCAACTCATAAAAAATGTCATAAATTTCAACAATGCCAACAGGTACATGATTGAGCTTCTTATTAAAACTTAAAACTCAATCACTAGTAATATCTCTCAAAAGTCTGCCGGACTACCACATGCACTATGCCTATCAGCTATGTAATGTACAAGTGTGGGTAATGAAAACAAGAGGTACATTGATTTAAAATAACATTAGACAAATGAAATTTAAATTTTAAAAAAGTCATGCAATCAAAGAAAAATGTCACATTGCTCATTCACTTCCAATATTATATATATATATATATGTTATGATCTTATTTATAAGTTACTTTTAATATTTTTATTGCAGTTAAAGAAAACCTTAAATTTCATTAACATTATGTAAAACCTTAATGAGTTTTCAACTTTATTCCTATTAAATATGCATATTTCAAAAATAAAATATTCTAACATTTAATAACCTTCTCAATATTTAATACGAACAAGAAAGTAATACAATAATCTTTGAGATGCTCTATAAATAGGATTAAAATAAATACTCTTTTTGTTTTATAAATAAGATTAAAGGAGTGTATATATATATATATATATATGTATATATGTATATCTTGATATGTCTTTTTTTCTCCTTTGTTTGTTTGTTTGTTTTTTTTTTTGGTTTCTCTTGTTCAGCATCAGCTGCTTCTGACTGAGGATTGCTTTTAATAGAAAAGGCTTGCGCAAAGCAGCTGTTGGAAGCAGTGACCATGGCTTCTAACCGTTGAGAAAACTTTTGTTTTAATTTTTTTATTCGCTAAAAACAAAATTCAGCTGTCCTCAACTTTGTTTATTAACTTTACTTTGAAATTTGAGAGCTCCAGACTAAAAAGACAGGCTTTTCAGCCAACTTTTTGCTTGTGCGTGTGAGGACGAGATAACTTCAGGTCCCACAAAAAAAGCCCTGGGGTTATTGATAGCTTTGCCTTTTTGCTTGATTTTTTTTAATCGTACACAGGTATATTGTTAGTAAGACTAATTTTATTTGAAAGACCTTTTTTTTTTTAATTTACTATAATATAAAGCATTAACTCCTTCCAATAAATTCAATTCCTGTTAGTTTAAATTTTTGCTTAATTTCTTTACTTCACGGAAGATACATTCACGGAGGCGGGAATTTTTTTGCAACTTTCTTGCTTGTGATCTTAGTTGAGAAATTATTCTGCTGGCTTCCTTCTTCATTATGTTGAATAGAGATGCAGAAAGTAGGGAATGACTAATAAATAAATAAATAAAATATATGTACACTTCAAACATTCTTCCTTCTTTAAACATACTAATCATGCCTTAAAATACTGCTACTGTTGTAATTTGGAAACTAAGTTAATTCAATATCATGATATGCAAGATATGAAGTTCCACATCAAGTAAGAACAAAATCTCTAAATGCTTTAAAAATAGATTTGAAGGGAAAGTATAAATTCAAATGTAAAAAATTAATATTTAAAAAGTATACTTAGTATGGCATGTGACTAACGTTTCTGTTCTGAGCACAATCTCCGTAAAATTTTGATTTATTTGTCAATCATATGAGAGTAGTGGTCTGCAGGTTAAAAACATTAAAGCTCTCAATCGTGCTTTATTAAAAAAGGATGTTTGGAGAATTATTAGTAATGATAAGATTATCTTTAATAAAGTATTGAGGCATGATTATCTTTCAATTAAAGATGGTTTTTCTTTGATTTCAAAAGCTTCTACTTCACCTATTTGAAAATGTATTGAGAAATCTAGTAATATCATTACTGAATCTTCATTGGTGGCCCTTGCAACAGTCAGGTGGTATATATTCATCTTGGAATGCATCCAATCTTATACTGTGCCCTTTCCTTCGTTGGAATATCTCCTTACTTAATTCCTTGTATTCTTCTTCTGCTACTGTTTTTTTTTCCCCATTTTAATGACTCCAATTTATTTTAATAATCACCCTAATGTTATTAAATGGTCAAAAAATTTCTTAGGTGATTATTCTATTAAACATGGTTATAAGATTTGTTATGAATCTGCTATGTCTAGTCCACCCCTTTTTGCAGATTAGTCTCCTATTTAGTCTTTGAAAATTCAGCCAAGAATCAAGGTTTTTTTTTTTTTTGAAAAATTGCTTGGAAATATCCCCGAACTTCATCTTTTTAAAATTCTCATCATATGTCTAGTCCACCTTTTTGTATGTTGTAGTTTTTCTAAAGCATGTCGGTTTGGGAGCCTTCCAAATTTAGATTTGCACCTAATGTCTTGGGGAACTGTGAAGCATAAAAGAGATGAAGGTGGACCAGGGGTGAAGGACCTTGCACATCAAAATCAAGCTTTCATCCTTAAGTTTTGTTGGAAATTAGTAACCAACAAGAAAGCATTATGGGTCAGAGTTCTGAAAACCAAAAACAAATGTGGAAATGAAATTCTCCCCTCGGTCTCTAAATAGAAATGCTCCTCTAAAACTTTAAAGAGTACTATCAAAGTTTGGGAGAGCTTTCTAGATGGTCTAGACAAGAGATGTATCCTTGGTAGAGCATCCAACTTCTAGTGTGACCATTGATTTGCATTAAATCAACCAAATCTAGATAAAACTATGGAAGTAGAACAGACCAAAAAAGATCAAAGCTTTCCTTTGACTCTTGGGAAGGGATAGGCTTCACACAGCAACCTTGTTAGCCAAAAGGGGAGTAGCTGATTCGTATGAATGCCCATTTGGATGCGGCATGGAGGATAATGCCATACATAATGTTCATGACTGTAGGTTTGCTCAAGAGGCGTGGATACAGATAGTCAAGCCTAAACTTTGGTCCAACTTTACAAAATTAGACTGGCTAGAGTGGATCAGTTGGAACTTTTCCAACCCATCAGTCCATAACTCTAATCCAAGTCTACATTGGACAATGGTTTTTGCATATATGTGCTAGGACCTTTAGTGTATACATTAAAAATCTTTTTGATACTCAAGATCATTTTATTCAGCAAGATCCAAACAAATGCCTTGCAAAAGCGATGATCGATTTTAGATGGTTGGGATAGCTCCATACCTTTCACTCAGGATCACTCTATACAAGAACTTGGCATCCCCCCTCTCATGGTGCCATCAGGCTTGATGTTGACGGATCCTTTTTCAATGGAGCTGTTACTTGTGGAGGTTGCATTATTGATAATAATGGAGAATAGTTAGTAGGATTTAACTGTAAACTTGAGAACCATCCATCTACCACTACTGAAGTCTTGGGAATTTATGAAGGCCTCAAACTTTGTTGGTCTAAAGGCTTTAAGAATGTGGAAGTTTACTCTGACAGCGTTGAAGCTGTTAACCTCATCACCAAAGGTTACCTTGAAGAACAACCTTACCATGATATCATTCAAAAAGCTTATAATCTTTTTTATAGAGATTGGAGTATTTCTATTAATTTTCTTTTTAGGAGTGTTATTAGTCATGCTCATTCTCTTGTCAAGGAAGCTCAGTTTTTGGATAGCTCTTTTTGCATCTTTGATCATGCACTACTTGGTGTTACATTAAGAGGTGATTGATGATTGAATTTTGATCCTTCTAAGTTTGTATTAGTGCAACATCACAAATTTTTAATTCTTGAATTATTAAGGGATTAATTAAGTTTAATGATGATAATTGAGTAAGTTGACGTGGTATGTGGCTAGAGAGGTCTAATGATTGTATTTGGTTGTGGTTCAACACTAATTATAGGTCTGAGGTGAAGACAGGCCACCCAAGCATTGAAAGGAGAAGAAAATAAGGATAGAGTATTTTTGTGCCACATGTTGCAGCACAAAATATGTCCGCTACGACACATAGACAGCAATTAAAGCGAGAGAGGATCTCTTTGTGCTATGCACCATGACACGCGTAGTGTGCACCGTGACGCATAGCCCTTTTTTAAAAAATATTAGCTGCTAACTGAGATAGAAAACTAGAGAGAAAGAAGGAGAAAATGAAGAGGACAAAAAAGCTTTGCTAGGGTTCATATTTGAGGAGTATTTGAGACATTTTGGAAGCTAGAAACACTAAAGGTAAGTACCCTACACCCTAATTTCCCATTCTCTTCTACATTTATGAAGTTTTTGCTTAAAGTTTGATAATGAGAGATAATTTTTAGTCCATATAGGTTATGAGTCTAAATTTATTGACTCAAATGAAGTTAATGGGGTTAGATTGAAGTATTTAAACCTAGAAAAATGGGTTTTGTTATCTTAGGTTGGTGGACATCATAAATATTCAAAATTTTGTATTTATGAGGGTTGTTGGAAGAGTTAGGATGCCATTGATGAAGGTTAAATGACTCATTAATGTTATTAAGAATTAAAGAAAGTTAATAAACCTAATGAATAAGCCTAAACATGAAAGATATGGGCATTGGGTAATCTAAAAGTGAAAGATAATAGTTAAAAATGTGTGTTGACATTATTGATGAAGTTTAAATTGGTTAATTGTAGATTGAGTTTTTGAACACTATTTTGACTTGGAAATCAAGCTTGGAAGCTTAAAATATTGTAGGGTAAACCTTTGACAAGGTTTGAGGTAATCAGGGGGACCCTATCTTGAGTACTTGTCCATTAATTTTATTGTAATATGAAATGTGTGTGTTTGGCTTGTACAAATGTGAATTTTGAGTATGTGTAACATGCTGCGAAATTATGTACTTGCATTATTGTGAAATAAATTTTTAAAGTTGCAAAAGTGACTTTGAAATAAGTTGCAATTTGCAATGTGTTATGAAATTGAGTTGTTGATGATGACTTTGATGAATATGCATGTGTTAAGTTTGAAACTAGTGAATATATGTGATAAAAGTAAAAATGAGTTTGGATGCTCACTTGGGTAATGTATGGTCATGAGTTTAATGTGTTGAATTTGAAAATGAAATTTAAAAATAGGGAATGAACATCATACATGGTATGATTAGTAGGCGAGAGTTTGCCTAGTGAAAGGAGTAGTTAAAATCCATATGGTATTTCAGCCGCCCTCTAGTGCACAGGGTAAAACCTTATTCTATAGTTTGTCGAGAGATTGTTTTATAATTTGTTAAGGAACTAGAATCTAGCTATCTCTACTAATTTATCAAGGAGATTAGCTTAGGGTATATGACACTCTAGAGATTCAAGAGTAAGAGAAGTCATAGTCTGAGAGTGAGTACTGTGATTTTTAGCTTGGTCATACCTCACAATTGGTGAGTTTGGGTAGTCCAATCACATTGATAGAGCCCTATTTGGTGTTATATCCCACGGTTTTAGTCAAAGAAAATAAAGAGAGTATAAAGATGGTTTGATCATTGCTTATATGATTATATGATGTGTCACATGATTAAGTTGTGACAAGTCATGTTAATATATTTGGTCATGGTCACATGTTTGAATGTCTTATGACAATGTACTTTTAGTTTAGATGAAAATGAACTAAATAAGTAATGATAAGTTATGTGTTATGTGTTCAAGAATGTTTTAAGAAAATCTAATTTAAATCCATGTGTTTATTTCAATTGATATACAACTGTATATGGTAAGTTTTACTTTAGTTATTGAGTGGCTAGACTCACCCCTTTTCTTTAATATTTTACAGGCTCTAGCTCCAGTGCAAAAAGGAAAAAGCTTAGGAGACTTAAGAATAAGTAAATTTTTATTGTATGCCTCTATGTTGAATTGTTTCTTTTGTGTAATAGATTAATGTTGTCAATTCTAGAATGCATTTTTATTTACACTTGCACTATAAAGTTGTTGAAATATCTAGATGGTATTTTATGTCAGCTGTATAGAGGTAAACCGAGAACTACTTGAGTCGTGTTGAAGGACACTATCCTTAAGAACTATTCTGGCACACCGAGACGACAGACCTACAGTTCTTCAAGATTAAACAAGAAATTTCGGTACAAGCAAGGCACCAAAATAGTAGCACTAATAGGAAAGAAACTCATATGAAACACACAGACAAGGCAAAAGAGGAAAGAAATGGCTCGAAAGCTCAAGAGCCTGGTGACCAGTTCAGTCCGTATCATTCCTATCTATAGGCCAAGGTCTTGGACAAACGTTGGGGCAGCAATTATTGGATTAAATCACCATCAAACCTTAGTTACATAAATAAAAAATACATTTAAACATTTGTCTGGAGACGTTGGGGGGACAAATGTGTTTAGAAATTGATTCATCTATTTTAAGAATTCGATTAAAGCCAAAAAAATGTTTATTGTTTGAATTCAAACTCCAAATAGCTAAAAAGTGAGGTTTTTTGATAAGCTCATATAAATAAATAATTATTTTTTTTTCATAAAAATAATCCGGTAAAAGGAACCTAGTACCTCTTGAACTCACACGCAGAGGGCGAATTGGTTGTTTTCAACTATGATTGCCTTGAATTTGTTTGTTTCATGCGCGTTAACATAGCCCATTTTATTTTTTAGTATTTATATACTAAGAGCACTTTTCATTTAGGTAATATGAGACTTCTTTTGACATACACTCAATTACTACAACATTTTGGGCCCTAAGTCACTAGTCATGATAAGTTGTGAATGTTGATAGGGCCGAAATACTATTGCAAATGTAATAAAGTTGTTTTAAGCATTATGTGGTTGCTTTTGAATGCAATGTAATGAAATTATCTCCCCTTTTTGTTTATGGTATTAAGGGGTTGAGAGGTGAAATTGAGTTATAATAGTATATGTGTGCTTGTGGTGTATTATACTAATAATCATAGGTTTAATGGATATGGTTTGGGTATTAGGAATGGCTTTTGGTTCTTGTTTTGGGTTTTGAACACCCTTTTGTTATGAAAAGTTGCAAAAAGTAGTAAAATTATGTTTGGATGTTCAACTTTTTGTTATGACTTGTTTTGAAAGTAAAACATGTTCCATAAGCTAGTTTATGAAATTAACTTTCTGTAGACACCTAGATCATGTCATTCAGATGATGAATGAAAAAATGGGACACATTGAGAGATGTCTGGTTTCTTTTGTCAAATGATAGCAGACTACTGTCACAAGCATGCAACACGCCGTGGTGCAAGACGCCTAAGCTGTAGTACGCGACACAGAGAGTAACAAGCCACGGCGTAGAGTGCATGAGCCGTGGCGCATTGCCATGTTTTCAACAAACTTGAAGTTTTTCAATTGTTTTCAACTTTTTTAACTCCTTTAACGTATTACATGCTTTTATATCTTAATCTTACTCTGATTTAAAGAGTTAATAAATAGATTTGACCTATTTCAACTTATGAAAACTTGGGATCCTTTTTTCTTCAATTGCAACTTGGTAATCTATTTATAAGTTAATCCCTTGATTACTATGGGGTATGGTTTTAAATGGTGTTTGAGTAAGAAGGATATTATAATTAGGCCCTTATATTGTTCTTTTTCATTACTTTGAATGAATTCCAGTATTTTGATTCAAAAAAAAAAAAGATTTGATTCTCAACCCTCTTAAGATTTACTCAAATGATTGAAAGCCTAGTTATATAATTTTCATACTCATAAAAATAACCCATCCGTACATGATATTTTACCTTTTTGCATATTAGACACTATTTGATGTTTTAGAAATTAGAAATATTTTGCAGGTAAATCTTTTATTCCTCAAGATGTCATAAACCAGGCAACATTAAGAACAGCTAAATTTTTAAGATCAGTAATCTTGCATCAAGTAGATCATACTCACAAGTTTGGTGTTACAACTTCATGTTCAAACAATGAATAAACTTTTCTTTTTGGAGAGATATCAACAAAGTTGACTTTTGGAGTTCAACTAGTTCAGGAAGTTAAGATTTATGCAGTTTCTCAAAATGGATCAGCTATTCTCCTTTGGAGATATTTCTCATTTATAAGAATCAAGAAACTTCAACTTCAAATGAAGTGTCTTCAAAAAGACTTTCTTTCTTCTTTAAGAAAATTTGAATCTAAAATTAGTTTTAATGCCACCATAGGATTTCGTTTGTATAAATTATCTTATATTAAGTTTATAATTGGACTTGGTAAGACACATGGCTTTCGCACTCTTTGCAAAAAGACACAAGTCTCTTCATGGAATATTATAATAGTTTTTATTACTTAATTTGAAGTTGTGGCTTTTCATCCAAATAATAATAATAATAATAATAATAATAATAATAATAATTTTGATTTATCAAAAATTGCCAACAATTTTAATTCATGTTTCAAGTTTGCATCAATTCCGTTCTTGGAAACGAAACCTTAAATCATTTGGTTTCATTCCAACTTTCGATCCCGTTCTCTGCCAAGAGAAACGTGCGTGAAGTGTACATATATATTAAATTTACAACTGTATCGTTACAAAATAACTGTGACTTAGAAATAAGATATGAACCAAAATATTCTACTCTTTTCGCCTTCTAAACACAACCAGAAGAGTATATGAAGATCTTAAACAGAACTCAGGAGAGTTGGCCAATCGGAAAAAAAACTTAGGAACGAGGCTCACCATCTCATGATTGGCTAACAGGCCACGCATTCTGAACCTACCATCCACAAAGTAAAAGCTGTAAAATTAAAATACAGTTGTGGTAATACAGATAACTGGGAAAATCCATATGCATTGATATGGTAGATTGGGATTCTACCAATAATGTTCTATACACTGTTATTACTTCTGTCAGATGAGAGCATTTAACTCCTCCTAGACAACAATGAAAATTTTACAAAAGCAACTATATCCTAAATAAGGCTTGGAATTGGATTCTAGCCTTGCAGTAAATTTCAAGCTTTTTAAAAAGCATGCAACATATATAGTGCCTAGACAGGCTTAAATAGCTTAATCTATGACTCTATCAGGTTCACCATTCAGCAACAATTGAAACACATTTACAGAACTTAAGGACAAGCACAGAAACTGTAGATGATGCTTCAAATTTTCTGGTCCAGCTTACAAACCTAACCTTGCTGCTGGCATATCTCCACTATGAGTTCTTGATAAACATCCAGTTCGCCAAGCAATTGTTTCACATCTTGTTCGGGTGTAAAGGAACTGGTAAAATATGGAGTATGTCTGTATATTCTTCATTTTGAAGTGCTTCTGAAGTTAACCATGTATATTGCACCCAAAGTAACAACGGCCCCAACTAGTTGTAGAGGTGAGAAGGTTTCCCCCAAATACAGAAACCTGAAATTTAAAAATAAATAAATAACAATGGCAATAGGAAATTTGATGGAGAATGAAGAAATTATGACATTAAAGGAAGTTAAGAGATAAAACTTAAAAGAAAGATCTAGTGAATTATGAATTATGCTATCCTCTTGTAAAAAATTGATTATCTTCTGAAAAGTGAGATTATTTTCATCACTATAATGTCCTTCGAGGAAAAATTCGCTCCACTGTCAGGTTTTTATTTTGATTGGTCTCCACTTTAACTTAACTTTTGGATAAATAAAACTAAAGGACCCAAAGCTATATAAAATTGACAGCCAAGGATCTCAGAAATAAAAATCTCTCTGTAGAACCATGAGTTGAAATTGGTGTCGAAGTTTCCATTCATGCTCAATAAAGTTACAACTTGATCTTCCAATGTTACAAGGTATTTTCAACTCAATAACAATAACAAAACGAAAACACCATTATAATATAATATCTGTAAAACTAGGTTGCAACTTGAGAAGGCATAAAAAGTAACTTATGGTCTTCGGAATAGAATTTGATTTTTCAAGTCTTCAGTTGTCAGGTTTATTAGTTGAGTCCTCGAATGTCATTTTCACTTAATTTAGTGCGAAAGTATATTAATAAAGACTTCTACAATTAGACATTGGTTACTTTCACATTCACCTTAAGATATCTTCTATCCCTCGATACTGAGTTTCTTGCTCCATATGCATGAGTTAATAGGCATTTGGTACAACCATAAAAGTGAAAATGGTGTAAAGTTGGACAAGGAAAATAGCCAGTTACCCAAAAATGGAAGCGAACATAGGGGTCAAAAACGTGAGGGAGCTGAGCTTGGTCAAGCTACCTGCAACGCATCACATAAACAATATCAATATGGAGTTTTAAGATTCACTTGTAACCTAAAAGTTGAATCATGTTTTATGTTACTAAAGATGAATCAATAAAAAAGTGAATTACAAAATGGAATAGGAAAAGAATCATTGCAACTCTGAATTTCAAGAGAAAGCTGGAGTTGTGGGATGAAAACAACAACAACAACAACAAGCCTTTATCCCACTAGGTGAGGTCGGCTACATGGATTGCAAGACGCCATTGTGCTCTATCATTTATCAAGCTTTTAGAAATATTATTAATTAAGAGATCACGTTCAACAACTTCCAAGAGTGTTCTCTTAGGCCTTCCTCTACCTCTCTTAATCAGACTCAAAGTTATATGTTTCACTCTTCTCACTGGTGCCTCCCTTGGTCTTCTTTGTATATGCCCAAACCATCTCAACCGATTTTCTACCATTTTTTCCTCAATAGGTGCCACCCTCACTTTTTCGCGTATGTGCTCATTTCGAATTTTATCTTTACGTGTATGTCCGCACATCCATTACAACATTCTCATCTCTGCTACTCCAACTTTATGCTCTTGCTGTCCCGTTAGAGCCCAACATTCACTACTATATAACATTGCCGGTCTAATAGCAGTGCGATAAAACTTTCCTTTAAGTTTATTAGGCACCTTACGGTCACAAATAACTCCTTTAGCTTTTCTCCAATTAAACCACCCAGCTTGAATTCTATGTGAAATATCTCCACTGATTTCGCCATCATTTTGAATAATGGCTCCCAAATATCTAAACTTTTCCACTTGAGGTATAATTTGATCTCCCAATTTCACTTCCAAATTATTTTCGAATAGTCCTTTACCAAATTTACAATATAAATATTCCGTCTTACTTCTACTCAGACGAAAACCTTTCGACTCCAATGTCCTCCTCCATAACTCAAGTTTGCAATTAACCTCTTCTCTTGTCTCTGCTATAAGAACTATATCATCCGCGAAGAGCATACATTTCGGGATTTCCTCTTGAATATGTTCCGTCTAAACATTTAAAATCAAGTTGAACAAATAAGGACTCAGAGATGATCCCTGATGTAGTCCAATCTTTATAGGAAAATCCTTTATTTGACCACTAGGCGTTCTTATACTAGTTTTTACCCCCTCATACATATCTTGTATGGCTTTAATATAAGCAATCTGTACTCCTTTTTTTTCCAACGCTTTCCAAAGCACTTCTCTTGATATACGGTCATAAGCTTTTTCCAAATCAATAAAAACCATATGTAGAGCTTTATCTTTACAACGATACTTTTCCATTAATCCCCTTAGTAGATAAATCGCCTCTGTAGTTGATCTACCTGGCATAAAACCAAATTGATTCTCAGAAATACTTGTCTCCAATCTCAACCTGTGCTCAATTACTTTCTCCCACAATTTCATTGTGTGGCTCATGAGTTTAATCCCTCTATAGTTAGTACAATTCTAAATATCTCCTTTATAGTTGTGGGATGAAATTTAAATATAAATCATAGTAGAAGAGAAATATACAGACCCTTAGTTGCACTGTAGAAGAATACCCCATAGCTGACGGCACTTCCGAAAATGGACGTGTAAAGGAGTGCCCATGTATCAGTTGAACTGAACTCTTTAAGATTTCCACTAATGGCAGGATCATTGTTAAGAATGGAGATTGCCGCGAGAGGGAGACCACCAATTACCATGTGCTGCAACCACAATAGCATAGGCATTAACTCGCTTTCTTAGATCATTGCAAAACCAAGATAAATTGTGCATTCATCCATGTAATGAGGATTCTGATCTCCTGTTATGTAACCTTCTTACTTCTTAGCATTTAAAAAAAATACTCATCACTGGCAATAGCTTATATGAAACGAGTCCAGTATATCTGTATTATAATATTTAAAGTTGTCATCCTGTCCTTTTTATTACTGGTAATAAATATTAAATAATTTAAAGATATGAATAAGAAAGCAGAGATATGGATTGAAACTTGTATTGATTGATTGAAAAGAATACTAATTATCCACCAAAATTGCATTGGTAACTAACAACAATTATCAAATATAAGACTATCAAACACTACGAAAGACTGAATCCTACCCATCCAGTTGCCATAACAGGATCAGAGTACTTAGTGACCCAACGAACCATGACTGTGCCAACTGCCATGCTTTGAGCTGCTAGAAGCATCCACCACTCCCCACTCCCCCACAGTGAGAAATTGCTCTCATCAAATGACAGTGCAGGTAACTGCAACAAAAGAAAAACTGAATAACATCTGGAGGGAATTAAACAGGCCACAAGGAACCATATATGCTTTGTTCTAATAAATAAATAAATAAATAAATAAAACGCATCTTAATTATGGTATCCGATGCAAGACATGTCCTTTACTTCAGCTATATATATTTGACTGATTTTCCCAGTTTGTGCTTGAGTGGTACGATAAACTAGAATACTGCCTTCGGGTCTTCTTTACCCCCGGCTAGCCTAGGAAATGGAATGGGAGAGGAGCCACAGCAAAAGCTCAGCTAAACATTTTAGATTGAGCCCTATTAGCTAACCAGCAATAGCATCCAAGTTTAGTTATGTTTGTAAAAATCATAATGAAATATAATTACTTTAAGACACAACTCAATTTTTTGTTAATATATTTCTCATAACACAATTTTCTTTAAATCATGGCGAGTCGTGCAAAATTTAAGGGAGAATGAAGGAACTTTGAAAGAATTTAACATCTGATAAAGATCAGGACAGATTGGATATTTGTTAAAACAAGAAATTCATTTGTTAATTGTTAATGTTTACTTGTTAGCAGTCCTTTTGTGAAATTAAATTGCTTCCAAGGTCCTTTACTAATATTCTCCCCAAATTTAATTCACGGTTAAGATTCACTCCTTTTTTATTTTTTGAGAATGAGAAAGCATGAGGGGCAGCATAACAATAAACAAGGCAAATCTCGATGCTGCAGATAAAAGAAACAAAAAATCTGATTTGTATTGAATTGGGACAGAACCATAACCCTTTTGTCACAATAAGAGATTTCTTTTATTGTTGAAAATTACAAAAATAAAATGAAAAAGAGAAGAAAAAGGAATGAATAGAGAAGAAAATCAGAAAGCAACAACAGAATGCCCAGATTTATACATAGCTCAATCTCTACAAGAATGACACAGTGATTATTGGATGAAAGGTATAAAATTGCATAAGATAATTACAATATATAATACTTTGTATTAGAATAGTTTCTTAATTTACCATTTAGATGTCTATTTATTATAAGGGTTATAATAAAGTCTTTTATTCATTATGTCGAAGAATAGTAGACATATTAACGTCTCTGCTTGTTCTTAGTACTTATTAAATTATACAAGATTCCACACAATTAAGTCCTATATGGAAAATTGAAGAGATGTCCAGTTACATGTGCAACCAAAATTTAGCTCTCCTTTTTCTATAAGCTTTGAAGTGAAGGTGGAGGAGAAGGTGGAAGCAAGATGAGCATGAAATGCTAATGCAAACATTATATGTTTTTGAGCTTTGAGACAGGGCCTTACATTGGTGTTAGGAAGCAGAGTATGTCCCAACAATCCAGTGACATTTTCACATATAACAGATAATATGCAAGTTGTTGAGAACTGGCAAGTATTGTTCCTAAAACTACAATATGAAAATTCGACAGTTTATATCAGGTAAAGCTGAATCCATCAAATTGGCACTTCCAGCAGTCAAATTGTGGCGCTACTTTTTTTTTTTTTATTTGGATTAGCTGTATGAAATGTGTTTTCTAAGCAGCCAATTGTTGAATCTCAACAATATAAATTAGTCCACAACTCAATTATGATGAGAATGCAACAATTCGATTATGATGAGAATGCTACTCTACTTTCGGAGCTTATGTAAAATAGGGCTAGAATTACATATAGAAATTTTTACCTCAAGAAGCACTAGTCCTATGACACCCAAAAGAAGCCCTGCAGCTCCAACAATTCCAATGGACTCACCAAATAACAAGGCTGCAAGAACAGCCACAGTCAAAGGTTGTGAATCAATTATGACCTGCAATATATTTAATGAGCCATAGAAACATAAAGTTACAATAAGCCAGACTGCAAGAGGATTATTGTTAAAAATATTTTAAGGCAAACCTGAGCATACAAAGCCAATAACAAATGAACCCAAAGTCATATCAGAGATGGGTTTCAGTTAACAACAATTAGATCTCCCATTTGCTTGGTGCACATGAGTCAATTTAGTCCTTCTCATGAATTATTTAAAAAAAATCATGGAAAACAAAGGTTTATTATTAAACATTTCATTATAATAATCAGTAATTCATGTAGCAACTCACTGCTAACAAGTTATTAGAATCATATGTAATGACTAACCTACTGCACACTTAATATTCTATTCTTGAAAATGGACAGCACATGTCATTATGCCACGACTGAAATAAAAAATTTCTCAATGTTATGACAAGATCACATCAACGGTTAATTTGATTTAGAAATTAACTGCCAACATACACTGCCCAAACCAGCTGATGTCCTTTGTAATCCTTCCGCAAGAAAGCCCTGCAACAAAACCATTACTGCCTTTAATACCCATTAGAAAATTTACTGAAACGTGAAAAGCAAGCAGCAACTGATATAACATCACTGCAAATATGAATGAACATAGAGACGGCACACACCTGAAAACAAGTAGCATCGACAATAGCAAAGAGAGTGATGGACAGCCAAGCGTTCAATCCAGATGGGAAAGGTCGACCTCGGGAAGCAGCGAATGCAACAAGCAGAAACCCAGCGGGAATTAAACGAAAAGCAGATACAAAGAAAGGTCCAGATTTAGGAAGCACCTCCTTCATGGCCACCATAGCCGTTCCCCAAAAGAAGAAAGGCGACACCAACACCGCCCACTCCAACAGCCCCTCGATAGAAATTCCCAACGATTCGACTTCCACCGATTTCCCGTTTTCTTGATCCGGCTCAAGTAGGCACTCAACATCTTGCCCTGTTCCTACACAATCAATTTCTGATGGCGGACGTAGTGAATCCTTCAAGTCCATTTCTGTACCACTGGTAGTGCAACCAACAATTACTCTTCCAAACCCACTTGAATTCCGGTGCTTAAATGAGTTGTTTCTGAGAAATGGAAGCTTAATTCTAATCAAGGATGCAATGGGGGCAGCTCGAGAAGACAAAGAAGGTGGGAAAACATTCACATGAAGCAAAGGGCGATTGTGCAATTGGAAAGCGTGACACTGTAAGGAGTAGCGGCAGCTGATGGAAGTGGCTGAAGAAGACGACGAGCACCACGAAGCCATGGTTTAACTCGATGCGTTGATATTTTTTGGCTTTCTTTCGATGCGATATTTACAGGAGCTAGGAAAGAAGGAGTGGCCGTGAGTGACTTCATGTACTCTTCCAAAATTACGATGCTTAAACGGAAATCGCAGAGCTCAATAAGCGAATCTGAAGGTCGACTAATGCGTTTCGTCGTCTTCGGAAACAAAATTCATTTGAAAACACAAATACAATCCATGATACCGGACACAGCGGATATGAGCTACTCCCTGCCTACGTGCTAATTTGTAAAATAATTTTTTTTATATCCATAAATTTTCAAAATTCTTTTTATCCATAAAAGAAAAAAAAATTATTTAAGAAGTAAAATAATAAACTAATAGGAATTGGATATAATGAAAAAAGTTATTTATTTACTATATGATGAATTAAGATTTAAATTTTTTTTAAAGTGCCTACATTTAATACCTGATCTTGTCTTGTACAAGATTACTTTTAATAAAAAAAATACCTATACAATAAAAGAGAGTAAAATAATAAAATAAATATTGAAATAATTGTGTTTAAATCATCTAAAGCTAATATAAGCAAATTTTTAAAATCCCTTATTGTTATTTTTAAAATTTCCCTCTTATAATTTTACTTTTACAAGTGATTTATTACATAAGCAAGCATTTTTTTCAGTTATTTTGAACCTTTCACATACTTTACAAGCTTAAGATGTTCTTGAGAATATTTGAATAATTTAATTAAAATATAAAAATTACTTAAGAGATGCTTATAGTTTTGTTTAAGAAATTGATTTTATTCTTTTCTACCAAAAAAGAAAAGACCTATTTTATATTTTATACTTTCTGCAAATCACAATATAAGTCATTATAAATTAGTTTACGTTTTTGAAAAAAGTTGCTTAAAATATTAATTTTTTTAAAAAATTGTCCAGCCTTTATAATTGTACTTTAAATAAAATAAATATAATATTTGATTTATTTAAAATACTTTCATTAATTAATTAAGAAGAGTATAATAAAGTATATAATTGAAAAAAAATGTATAAAACCTACCTAATACCTATATTTTAAATCAAGTAAGCTTTTTAAAAAAACACTTTATATTATTATTGTGGTATGGGAGAGTAAAAAAATGATAAAATAGGACAAAATACCCGAAAAGAAAACCTTTATGCAAATTCAGGAATATTAAATTTAGAGGAATTAAATTTGAAGTAATTATTATTAATAAAACTCTATTTTTTAAAAAATATTATATTTTGAAACAGAGGGCACATAATTTTGATGAGTAGCATATTCTTCTTTATTGGTTGTGTGATAGAAGAGATAACCTTTAGCATACCCAACAACAACAACAACAACAACAAGCCTTTATCCTACTAGATGTGGTTGGCTACATGGATTGCAAGACGTCATTGTGCTCTATCATTTATCAAGCTTTTAGGAATATTATTAATTAAGAGATCGCGTTCAACAACTTCCAAGAGTGTTCTCTTAGCCTTCCTCTATCCCTCTTAATCAGACTCAAAGTTATATATTTCACTCTTCTTACTGGTGCCTCCCTTGGTCTTCTTTGTACATGCCCAAACCATCTCAACCGATTTTCTACCATTTTTTCCTCAATAGGTGCTACCCTTATTTTTTCGCGTACGTGCTCATTTTGAATTTTATCTTTACGTGTATGTCCGCACATCCATTATAACATCCTCATCTCTGCTACTCCAACTTTATACTCTTACTATCCCGTTAAAGCCCATCATTCACTACTATATAACATTGCCGATTTGATAGCAGTGCGATAAAACTTTTCTTTAAGTTTATTAAGCACCTTACGGTCGCAAATAACTCCTTTAGCTTTTCTCCAATTAAACCACCCAACTTGAATCCTATGTGAAATATCTCCATTGATTTCGCCATCATTTTGAATAATGGCTCTCAAATATCTAAACTTTTTCACTTGAGGTATAATTTGATCTTTTAATTTCACTTCCAAATTATTGTCGAATAGTCTCTTACTAAATTTACAATATAAATATTCCGTCTTACTCCTACTCAGATGGAAACCTTTTGACTCCAATGTCCTCTACCCAAAAAAAACAAGAAGAAAAAAGGAAGGGCTAACCTTCATAAAAAAAAGAAAAGAAAGGAAAAATCGCTAAAAAAAAAAATTCTTTCACTGACATTAATTCAAAGCTTCAAATGATTAAAATGCCCCCATCAAATCCTCTTCTCTCTGCGATCGCTATTTTGGCAATGACCTCCTCTTCCTCTTCTTACTCCTTCGTCCTTCATCACCTCCTTCTTACTTAATTATTCTTCTCCATCCTCACCTCCTTCCTCCTCCTCTTCGAATTTGTGCGAAGAGCAAAGAGGGCATATCGATGGCATCAAGGGTTTCTTATCGTCGGTCATACCATCGTCAAGCACACCGCATTGGGACAATATCTGCATTTATTGAAAAAGGTGGAATCTTTACCTCTTAGTTTCGACCCCACACTTGCAATTTAATCACATTTATGCCAAAATGGTTAGCCCCTGTTATAAATTTCAATCATATTCTCATTTCTCAGACTATTGATTAGACATTTGGTGACGAAAATTAGAGAGATGCAAGAAAGTTTGTTCTTTTTATCTTCAATTTATTTATGGTTAATCTATCTACGGCCCTACAAATGATTGTTGGGATGGTGGTCCTTGAAATATGATGATCATTTTTAATTTCTAAGAATTTGAAATGGAATAGTTGGTGTTTATTTTTATGGAAAAATATCTTGGACATGAAATTTTTCTGTGAGTAATTACATCATATTGATAATATGTGTAATCCTTCACTTCTCCATCCCTTTTCTTGGTTAGGAAAAAATAATCTCACATGGCAATGCTTTGTAGTAGTGCATTAATTTTGCATGTTGCTACCTATACTTTGTGCAATTGCATGTCTAACTTGGAAATCTAGTTGTGGTTCAGCATGCTGTGGTAGAAAACTTGGATTTCAAATGTTGCACAACTGAAAACCAACGAGATCCTGATAATCCTATGAGCTGTCTCCAGGGTTGTTCACTGTTACATCTGGCATGTCATTTTGATAGTGAACTAATGGTTGAGTTGTTGCTTCAATTTGGTGTTGATGTAAATCTGCAAGATGCCTGTGGAAAGACTCTCTTGCATCATTGCATCTTTAAAGGAAAAAATCCTATGGCAAAGCTTCTTCTTCGAAGGTACAACAACAACAATAACAACAACAAGCCTTTATCTCATTAAGTGGGGTTAGTTATATAGATTATAAGACGTCATTATACTCTATTATTTATCAAGCTTTTAGAAATATTATTAATTAAAAAACTACGTTCAACAACTTTTAGAAGTGTTATCTTAAGCCTTCCTTTATCCCTCTTAATAGGGCTCAAAGTTATATATTCTACTTTTTTTACTGGTGCCTCTCACGATCTTATTTGTATATGCCCAAACTATTTTAAATGATTTTTTTTCATTTTTTTTCTCAATAGGTGCTACCCTCAATTTTTTCGTGTTCGTGCTCATTTTGAATTTTATCTTTACATGTATGTCCGTACATTTATCTTAACATTCTCATCTTTGCTACTCCAATTTTATGTTCTTGCTGTCCTATTAGAGCCCAACATTCACTATCATATAACATAGCCGGTCTGATAGCAGTATGATAAAACTTTCTTTTAAGTTTATTAGGCATTTTATGGTCGTAAATAACTCCTTTAACTTTTTTCTCAATTAAACCATCCAACTAGAATTCTATGTGAAATATTCTCATTGATTTCGCCATCATTTTAAATGATGGCTTCTAAATATTTAAACTTTTTCATTTAAGGTATAATTTGATCTCTTAATTTCACTTTCAAATTACTGTCGATTAGTCTCTTACCAAATTTATAATATAAATATTTCGTCTTACTGTTACTCAAACGAAAACCTTTCGACTCCATCGTCCTCATCCATAATTCAAGTTTACAATTAATCTCTTCTCTTATATTTGTTATAAGAACTATATCATTTATGAAGAGCATATATTTGAGAATTTTCTTTTGAATATATTCTGTCAAAATATTTAGGACCAAGTTAAACAGATAAGGACTCAACAATGATCCCTGATATAGTCCAATCTTTATAGGAAAGTCCTTTGTTTGACAACTAGATATTCTTATATTAGTTTTTACCCCCTTATACATATTTTATATAATTTTAATATAAGCAATCCGTACTCCCTTCTTTTTCAAGACTTTCTAAAGCACTTCTTTTAGTATACGGTTATAAGGTTTTTTCAAATCAATAAAAATCATGTGTAAATCTTTATCATCTTCGAAGGAAATACTATCATTTTTAGCATTTGTTCTAGTCTTATTGTTTTGGCATGATTTATAATTCCTTTGCTAAATCTTCTTCATTCTACCATTGACTTTTCAACCTTGTCTTTGGGATATAATGCTCAATATTTCCTTTCTTCAATCATTTGAATGTTGCCAACAAAGTGAAAAAATGGCTAGGGTCTTCTTGGGTAATGCATAGGATGTGTATCACATTTTTTAAAAAATTTTTTATGATAGAATTTTTAGGAAAAAATTGCTAAATAAGACCTCATCAGATTTCAATTTGTTGAGAAGGACTTGTGTCATATTATCAAATGAGGTCCTTCACTGGCATTATTTCAAAGTTGAAAAATGATCGGACTGCCCTTAATGAAAGAAAAAGAAAAATTGCACGAAACAGAGCTTTCTTCACACATGCAATTGTCCAACCTAACCTAACGTTTGAATCAGTCCGACACAGCTACCATAGTTATGCTCAAACCAAGTTTGTGACTGTCTTAGGACAGCTTGCTAAGCATTCAATGATAATGGTGAGTTGTTTTGTGTTTTTTTTTTATTTGTATTACTATAAATTTGATTGTTTGAGTTTCATGTTGTTGAGAAAAGAACTTAAAAGAGGTTGAACCAAGCTGTTGCTCTTTCACTTGCTCCTCCTATAAGTAAATTGGCACAGATTGTAGAGGTTAGTGACACCTAATGTAGGCTTCAATAAAATCATTGAGTAGCACTTGTAATTTTTCATTGACGGTAGTCTTTTCATTCCATGTTGAAAATCACAGGTGTAAATAATATCTTGATGAGTAAGGAACCGAAAAAATATTATTTTCCTTTCATATAGGGAGAAAGATTGTTGATGA